TGCTTCCGAGCGTCCGCCATTGGCTCAGGCGACCACTGAGCGTCGGGAGGTGTGGTCGGCTCTAGCCAGGGGGCGAACCTTTGCGTGTCGCCGGGGATTGAGGGCTGCGTGAGGAGCGGCCTGAAGCCTCGCGCACCCCGAGGATCGGGGAAGGGGCTTCTGGGGGCTTGGGCACCGCGGACCCTCTTAGGCGTCCGCACCTGAGCTCGCCAGCCTCCAGCACGCCTGCGCAGCCAGGGTCTTTCCTGATCGTGAGACCCCCAAAGGCGGGCGGCTCCAGGCTTTCTGGCCAGTGCGTCCTGGTGGGGGCAGTCATGGCGCAGCTGTGTGGACCGTGGCGCGGCCGGGCACTCCTCGCTCTGCTGGCGTCGTTGCTTTTCTCCGGGGCCGAGGCCACCGACGGAGATCGACGCATCCAAGGTGAGGGCCCATCGGGTGACTGGATGGCGGAGGCCGGGAGGGGCAGGCAGGATGTGGGGATGTCAAGTGGGAACTGAGCGTGAGAGTCGCGGGGGGGTGGGGTTGGGGACCATCTGGTGATGGTCAGGGCCTGTGGGGATTGAGACTTGCTTGAGCAAGATGCGGGGTCCTTGGGAATGAACGGCGGGCGCAAGAGCCGTTGGTTATTCGGTTATAACCAACCAATGGTTATTCTGTTTCCCAGCGGGAGAGGAGAGGAGGTGTATACCGTGACGCTGGCTCTTCCTGTGGCAGGAGGGGGCGAAGAGCCTAACTGCGCACTTTTCCTTGCAGTCGAAAGTGCCAGGCCTCAGTGGGTGTGGCTTGGTGGCAGTTTGGGCTCAGGAGAGAAGCCCCCTTCCTCACTTCCTAGAGTATTGGGCACCAGCCCCCGGAGAAACCTTTCTAACTTAGTTGATGTAGAGTAGGTGCCCGAGAAGGAGTTTCTGTGGTGCTCAAAGGAAGGAAAAGAAAAGAGATGGGAAAATTTGCCAGGGTGCAAAGGCCAGCGCGCCTTGTGTGAAAGTGTCGGCACCTAGATTCTGGGGTTGGCTTCTTCAAGTGTTGTTACAACCTTACCTGTTTCAGACAAGCACCAGCAGGATTTGAAGAGAGCTTCCTTGAGAGAAAACTTTAAAAAAAAAAAAAAAAGAAAGAAAACTTCATTGATTCAACAAACTTAATCCCTTCTCTGGGTCAGGGACTGTGTGGCTTTGGTGATGACAATTGACTCAGACAAGCCCGATTCCTGCATTCGTAGAGTTTATATTCCGGTGGGAGTGGCAGTTAAGTGGACATTTAAACAAGGTGCACTTACCACATAATTAAATGACTAAGAGATAAATGAACAGGGCAAAGTACGAAAGGTAATGGGGGCTGCTTAGCTCAGGTGGGCAGGAGACCTCTCTCTGGGGAGGGTGACATGAGAGCCCCAACACGATGCACAGAGATGCGGGGGGCTGACAACACCGGTATCCAGTTGGAGGTAATGGAGTATAAAGGCCTTGAGGCCAGAACAGGCTCGTTGTGTTCCAGGAAGACGGAAACCCCAGGGTTAGAGCAGAAAGTGAGGAAAGGGGAAATGGGAGGTGGGGAAAATGAGCAGGAGCCAGGTGACCAAGGGCTTTATAGGCCAGTATATTGGATGAAAATGAGAGAAAGCAGGAAGGATGTGCCAGGTCATCCCCTATGGTAACTTCTGGAGAATGATTAATTTCCCTATGCCTGGGGCAGGGGGAAAAGAAAGAAGTCTTGTTGCGGATACCAGTGGCCAATGGGTGAAGCTCAGCTCTAGAGAACCCGGAACCAGGACTGCAGGTGTTGAACCAGAATTGGCAGCCCTTTTGTGCTTTTTCTGTTAAGTAATTTGTGTTAGGATGTAACTCTAGTTGCCTGGCCTATGACTGTATCTGGTTACAGTTTACTCTGAGCTCAAATGCGTCCTTTAATCTTGGAAACAGCCCAGTGTGGTGGTGACACCTCAGGCCTTGTTGAAGGTCACTCTACAGTAATTGACAAAGCCAAGCCTGGCTGCAGAGGCCTCTGTTCACAGAGACCCCCTGACTCTGCTGTGGCTCCCTGGACCTACTAACCTTTCAGAAATATCCTCTGTCTGGCTGGGTGAACTATTGCCCTCCCTTATCTGAAGTGCTGTTTGTTTGAAAGCTTGAACAGCTTAATCTGAGGCAGGAGGCACTTTTCATTTTGGTTCCCCTTTTCCCCACTGCTTTTCTCACAAGGCAAGGTCATCTGCTAAGAGTGAGGTGTTTTCCTGGCACAGGCAGCTGCACCGGTACTGCCCAGTAGGTATGTGAAGAGGAACAGGAGAAGGGAATGTGTACAAGGGAGGGATTATAAAGAATAGTTGCTCATGAAATTGAGTCTTTGTGAAGACGTGAGGGGTGCTGAGCGTCAGTGGAAAGGTTGTAGGGCCAACTGGTTTTTGGAGTTGAGGCTGTGGAGGGAATGAACTAGGAAGATAGTAGGAGGTAAGGAAAGGAAAGGTAAGGAAGATAGTGGAGGTAAGAAAATGAGGCTCTGAAGAGGCTGCTGAGAAAGGTCTAGGTGTGACCATAAGAGGGAAGAGATGTGGGAGAGACAGGGTCACCAGGACAGGAGACCGGGGGATCCCGAGAGTGGTGATAGGAGCAGCCTGAGAGGAGTGAATCCAGGTAGAGATTATGGAGGAGAGAGGGACAGGGACGCACAAGGTGGGCAGTGAGCGGTGAGCTCTGAGGACGAGATCTGCAGCTGGGGCTTGGGAGGGTGAAAGGAGAAAGGTCTGGAAGAAAGAGGTCCAAGTTCTGGTTAGAGAAAGGTGACAAAAATATTTATAGAAGAGACTGAAGAAACCTGATATTCGAGAAGGTAGATCACGAGTTGTGGAGGGCTCCGGAGTTGGGTGGAGCTGGGAACAGAACGAACGGACGAGGGTTACTCTGGAGTCTGGAGCTGCTTTTCTGGGATCAGCGTCTCGAGGCCTGAGATTGACTGTGGCGATGAGGCTCTCTGTGGTGCAGGGGAGTAGGCAAGGTGCACCTGGCCCTGGAAGGCCTGGGGAAGTGTCCTGGCCCCAAGCCTGCACACAGGTGTCGAAAGCTGACCCTCCGCTGGGTGTTTCCAGTGTTCAGGGTCAATTCCAGGCTGCAGTGGAAACCGGCCCCTCCCAGGAGGCCTCACACAGCCTTTAGGTGACTTGGACAGTAAGGCATTTTATATGTTTTTAATTGGTTTATGGTTTTGCCTGAAGAATACAAGATCTGGTAGAAGCTGACTGTTTTTGTATGTGCGTGGGGGGGTGTGTTTTTTTTGTTTTGTTGGTACCAGGAATTGAACTCAGGACCTTGCACTTGCGAGGCAGGCGTGATGCCACTGAGCCACATTCCTGGCCCTGATAGAAACTGACTGTTGCCACGTAGCTCTCATGGACTAGAACTGAGAGCCTCTTTTAGACAGGACACCTGCCTGCCACTCCCCCAAGTCAGTAATCATTTGAATTTGTTTTATTTACCTGCCTTAATCTGTAGGCCTTTGGGGTGTGGCGCCCTCCTTAAGAAAATGCTCCAAGCCGGGGATTTAGCTCAGTGGTTCTGGTCCTTGCCTCACAAGCACAAGGGCCTGAGTTCCATCTCTGGTACCAAAAAAGAAAAGAAAGAAAGAAAATGCTCCACTTAGGGGCTGGGGATTTAGCTCAGCACTGTGCCTGCTTCCTAAGCACAAAGTCCTGGGTTCGATCCCTGATACGGGAGGGGGGTGAGAAAAGAAGAAAAGAAAAAAAGAATATGCTCCATTTAGTTGTAAAAGGAGGTGGGTAACACCCATGGGCTCTTAGAAGTTGTACAGTGCAGTTCGCTCATGGATTAGCACTGTAAGAGGGGGAAATACCTACCCTTTATCAGGTGGGTTGCAAGTATGTGTGATTTTTTTTTTCTCTCCCTTACCAGGAGACAAATCCTGATATTTGGAGGATTCTGAAACACATAATTTTGTTCAACACAAGGCCAGATAACTTAATTTCTTGTTCGGAGTAGAACTTGGAAGTCCCTTCAGGAGCAGTGAATGAAGTATAGTTCCTGCTGCCCTTACACCTCCGCTGCCCCTCCCCTTATAACTTTTTGCCAGCCCTTGGGCATTAGCACTTGTGTCTCGTTTCCTTGGCTGGATCTTTGTTGAAAGTTGGGAATTTCCACTGTAGCCAAGCATGACCACATTCATTCCAGCGCCTCCACTGCACTTTGAAACCATCTTCAATTTCCATTAACCTCTGGGGTTAATTACTGCTTCCTCATCCCCCTAATTACAAGGCAGACTTCCCAGAAAATCTCCAGTTAGCATGTTATAAGCTGTCACTCCAGGGGATCGTTGTGACTTAGGTCAAACGTAAGGCGACTCAAGACCTGCTGGAGTTAGTTGGAGATCAGCTGGGGCTTCTCCAAGGTAGTATGTTAACGTCATCCTTGCCCTTCATAGAGGAGGTGCTTGTCCTGCTTGCAGGCAAGGCAGTTTGAAATGGTCATTTATTGATGAACCTACAGAAATAACTGAGCACCTACCAAATGCCGGGCACTGTCCCAGTAGAGCAGGAGCAAAGCAGACCTGCCTCTCCCTGGCCTCCCCCTGGGACGAGAGGAAGGCAGTGTCATAGCCAGAGGAACAGGCAAATGTGTCTGGTATTGCAGGGTGAGGGCAGGGAGGCTTAGTGGGCTTAGAACTGAAAACATGAGTTTTGGGGCCTTAAGTGGTAACAGTCCCTACGGGATGCTGAGACAGGGAGAGAGGTCTGTCTATCGGAGACGTTCCACTTTTTTTTTTTCTTTGTACTGGGGATCAGCATTCGAGACCTTGCGCTTGACTTGTGAGGCAGGTGGTGGCACCATTGAGCTAAATCACAGGCCCCTCAGAGACATCCCTTTGTCCCGCTTGGCACTTTGCACTCAGCCTGGGATGGAGAAAGCAAATTCTTCTCTTTCACTCTCTCTCCCCCTTTCTCACTGTACCTGTGGTCCAAGTCACCTGTAGTGTTCAGGTGGTTGGCAGGGCAGCCAAGCCTCTGTTTGCTGGTCACGGGGGAGGCCAAATAAGGGATGAGTAATCTGTGACTCATGCAGGGAGGGGGGAGGCCCTGCAGGGGGTCACACCGAAGTGGCTTCATTAACCCCAGAAGGGCTGGGCCCGCTGAGCACAGGGCAAACGAAGAGTTCAGAGATGACCCAGGAAGCATTGGTGTGTGGGTTATGGATTTGTTGTGTGATCTGGATCACAAGTAAGGTTTTACAGGTTGTTGCCAGGTATGGTGGCACACGCCTGTAATCCCCAGCAGTAGGCTGAGGCAGGAGGATCACCACAAGTTTGAGACCAGCCTGAACTACAGAGCAAGACCTTGTCTCAAACAGACAAACCCACCCCCCCAAAACCTAAGTTATTTCTGATGAGATCTTTCTGAAAACTTCCCATGAAGGAGT